GAAAATCGAATTTAAATATCGTCAAAAAACCTATCATATTATTTAATTTTTGGTTTGTTTTGACGTTAGTAATAACAGCTGATAAATAATCATCCTATGTTACTATGATGATCGCTCCGTAAAAGGTACAAATAGAGAAAATAATATTTATGTTTGAATAAAATATTTGTACATATATCTACCGTATGATAGAAAAAAACGGCGTCCAGTTGGATGGGAAATGACGATTGATGACATTTCCTATATAAATTTACATATAAAATGGCACCGACCTTCATTTCATGGTCATCGCTGATGCCGTTCCTTTTCGATAATACGGTACTATAAAAACTATTTATATTTTTTCTTTTTTCAATTTTCTTTGACTTTTTTATAATATTTTAAGTTTTTAAAATCTTGGTTTTAAGTCAATAGTGAATAAAACGAAACTTGTGTTTATATTTTGTTTAATGATTGACGTTTCGACTAATTTTAATTCGGTCTTCTTCAGAATCTATAATATACAATACAATTTTATCACTAACAATGTGTTTAATATATAATTTTTTCTTACCACAAACGTAGAAAATTATTTATACGTATATTATAGATTCTGAAGAAGACCGAATTAAAATTGGTCGAAACTTCAATCATTAAACAAAATGCAAACAGAAGTTTCGTTTTATTTACTACTGACTTAAAACAAAGATTTTAAAAACTTAAAATAAAAACTATATATAAATGTTTGTAATGACACTTATTTAGATTAAAAAACTAAAAACAGAAGTTTTATTTGACTATTTTTCATATCTAGCTTTGTTTTTAAAGAACAAATTAAACCCTTTTGAATTATACCAAATTTGTTAAAATCGGTCAAGCTAAGAGTTATGTAGTATATTTTATCCCCATCTTCCACTCTATTTCACTAATTTTATGTGGTTTGTTAAGATCTAAATATATTAATGTGTGTTTGGTTAAGATCTAAATAATATTAATTTCCATTATAAAGCATAAAATATAAAAAGTTGCATAAAAATATAAATAGTAATTCTTAATACGCTGGATTTACGACGATAGGCGTTAACAGTAATAATACTTTATAATTTTTTGAAATGCCGAATGAATTTGGCTAAATTTGAATAAACTTCTCCTCGTCTATGCTCAAATTTATGCTGGTGACGTACTCTCGACCGTCGATCGTGCGACTCCAGTGCGCGGCTACAATCGACTTTCCGACCGGTCGTGTCGGTCGCGCCGCTCGCACCGCTCGCTCTCGCCGATGCCTATTCAGTGCGCGCGGAGCTTTAAGGGGATTTTAGGACTAGTGATTAGTACCCTCGTTCAAACTAATTATCGATCAAAAACTTTTTGTAAATATGTCAATTCACTGACGTAATTTTTTTCGGCTTAACCTTTTCTTTTTGTAGAATTCCATTTTTTTTCTTATTTTTGAAATCTACATATCCTTTAAAGTAAAAACTACACATTGTTTTTGGTTCAGATTTTTTATACACTATTTTTTACACACTGTATATAATATCTAAAAACCTATTATTATTAAACATCTAGCCAGAATTTCGCACAATAAATACACGACTCTTCGCACAAAACGATTTTACACGCCTGTCTGCCTCAATATAATCTTTACACACGCCATTTTTAAATATTCTCGTTTCGATTAGAATGATTTATTATCGGCGAAACCGTATTCAGATTTTTCCCTCATAAATTATATTCGAATTCATTTATTCCCGCTACAAATAACTTTTCGTTCGTGTTAAGAATCGAATAGCGTATCATTCAGCATAACTCTAATTCGGATGTATAATGGCTGGTTATTTATGTGGCCAGTTAAAAAATACGTGTTTTCTTACTAGAGATTATGGTATATTATTTTTATGGATGACTTTTTCTTGGTATTTGGTCTATTTTTAATAATACAATTCAATTAGAATAATTATAACTTAAGAGTTCATGTCACTAGTCCGAAAAAGTAGCAAAATAAGCGTTCGGCATTTAACGTTTTATGTAAATCTGGCTAGGTAGTTTTACACAAATGAAGAAGGAAATTAAAGATAAAAGATTATACTATTTAAAATTATTGTGGCACATTTTAGATAACTGTGTTTCTTTTAATTGGATTAGGACCGAAAAAAATCCAACAGGAGTCCTTTGTTTTAAATGTGTCGACGTTTCGCAAAATTTATTTGCATCTTCAGAACACTACAAAGCTAAGAGAGCAAAATACAAACAAAAAATTTTAAAAATTTAACAAACAACTTAAAACACATATCAGTGGAATTCCACACATATACAATTTACCCTAATATTAACAATTAAATAAAATATATGTATATGTTACTCACATTTAAATCTGGACTTTCTTAGTCATATAATAATACACGGATGGTATAGAGGGGAGTGGTATATATCCCTTTTTTTCTTTTAAAACACATAGGTAACACACTTACATTAAAAAAAGCATAACATCGATATTAGGCACAGAGAAATATCACAATTTTTTTTTCTTTTCACAGACAAGTAGTGCAGATATACCTACGTTTACCGTATACAGAGAGCAACTAATTCTAGTTGATAAAATACTAATACCAGCCCTAACAACTATATGTTGGGACAAGGTCTTTTTTTGCAATAAATATAGTAATTTGTTAAAACGACTCAATTTTATTTTGTTTATTATTCTAAATTCAAACATTACAATAGGATCTAGACAATTTTACTATATTTTTATAACTTTGCAAACAAATCATTTTTGATAATAGCTTATTTTGTCAAAATCAAGCTAAATTTCCTGACAACTATATATTGGGACAGCACAACAAGAAATTTGTTTAATACGGAGTTACATCACCTTTCGCCTTAACAACTGCCTGAACTTTTAATGGCATTGTATTTACAAAGATTGGCACATTTGAGGAGAAAAATTATCTCAAATTTCCTGCAGTTTTGTCCGTAAATCAAAAATTGTTCGTTGAGGGTGGTTTCTTAAATATTGCTTCATTTTATGCCACACAGTTTCTATAACATTGAGGTCCGGACTACTTGCAGGATGGGATAGAACTTTTATATTATTATTACCGGACCAATTTTTAGTTAATTTTGCTGAATGGCACGATGCTCCATCTTGTTGGAAAATATAATAGTCTTCGTTTGGAAACAATTCTTGAGCACTAGGCAAAGTGAGGTCTCAAGTATATGTTGATATTTTTGGGCGTTAGTGCCATCTATAAAATTTAATTTGCCCAAACCTCTTGCTGACATGCAACCCCAAACCATAATTAACTTAGGAAATTTAACAACCCTCTTTAAGAATCTTTATGAAATTCTGATTTATTTAGTATTATTCGTTTTCAATGATCTCCAACGAACATCAAATTTAGACTCATCGCTAAATATGACCTTATTCCAATCATTTTGTGTCCACGATAATTTAGATTTTGCCCAATTGTAGCGATTTTTCTTTTGAATTTCTGTCAGTAGCGGTTTTTCTTTGGCCTAAATAAGAATTTGTATCAATAATCTTCAGGTAATTGATTATCCACACAAAATAAAGTTTACCTTGTAAAACCCCAGACCGCATTTATGGATATATTTTCGGCAACATTCTCTTGATATATTTAAACCAGTTACAGTATTCAATTTAACTGTTAACTTGCAAACTTATACTAAATTTCGTAAATCTCTCTGAGATACAACTTTTGGCCTTCCCGAACTTTTACCTCTAATGTCTACATTGGCAGATTCGCCGTATTTTTTTTTATTATATTAAGGACCGTGGTTTTTGGAATACTTAAATCATCAGAAATATTTCGAATTTTTTTTCCCGTACTGTATTGACGAATGATAATTTCGCGTAGTTTTTGATTTGTAGCTTTTCCACGGACCATTACTTTGAATTAGATTAACAAAATTGAAAATTAAAAAAATTAAAATTACTTTTTTAGTAGGGAGATTTACTTACAGTAAATCTCCCTACTCAAAGTATCGACTCACTTACAAACTGTCAATGCTGAAGTAAACAGTTTGCGACATTTGTGACGTTTATAGCAAAGCCGCCTATGATGATATTAATTATTTAAAAATACTTGTCCCAACATTTAGTTGTCAGCAAATTTGTCCTTTTATGAACAAAATCCGCTACTGTAAATATGGATTGATTTATAAATTCATAAAAATATTGTCAAGTTGTTTAGGATATATGGCTATGTTTATATTTAAAAAATTAAACATATATTTTTCAGTCATTTTGAAAAACCAGGGCAATAATTTCAAAATATGACCTTGTCCCAACTAGTTATATAGGGCTCGTATAATTTTTACCTGGATATAAAGAACAGTTGAAAAAAGAAATATAAACATAAAAATATTACTTGGATTTATACCACTATTTTGAAGTTATATTATTTAATTTTTAGAATAGAAAGAGTATTAAAATATGCTGTACTCAGGTTTTCTATGTCTGTTCTTTTATTAACGCAATTTTTGTTTTTTTGGATTTCTATCATCTCTGCAAACAATCTTTTCTTATAATTAGATTGTGTTTGTAAAATAGTGGTATTGTCAAAATCGAAGTTATGGCCTGTCTCTAATTTGTGTTCTACTAATGCGGTAGGATTAGATTTAAAAATAATTTTTTTGGTCATTTTTAGATAACTTCTTCATTTTAAGATTTTGATGATCAAACATCAACAAAATGTACCTTATGTTTGGACTAAAGTTTCTCGAAAACAAAGACATAATTTAAAATTCCGTTACAATAGGGAAATAGATTGAAGTTTTGTGATTACATGATATATAATTTATATGGTTTCGTAACAAATTGCTCGCTATTTTATGGCAAATGCTGAAGCACTGCAAGTCTTAATCAAGCCTTAATCAAAGCACATGTGGAATTTTGAGTGTGGCTTAACACGACAGGATCGGGCTAAGCTTTTAAGACTCGTCCTCTCTAATATATAAACCTAGATAAAGTGAAATGTTATTATTATATTAATACTTACTGTTTTGTTCTTCATTTCGGTCAATTTTTTCTCTAGCCAAACCCATTGCGCCGTTGCATCTTCATCGTCTTCCTGTCTTCTCATTAAATTTGTGTTCAACACTATAACTTGAAGTTTTAAAGATTTTCTTTCTATTAGGTAGTATCCACCTGAAACAAATCGTAAATTTAATGTCTCAGTTAAAATTTTTATAAATTTAATAGTTAACAGGCTTATTCACCTCATTTGATACAGAGTATTGTAGCCACACGATTAGATTTTTAGAAATTGTGATAAATTTTTAGACACTCTGTATAAGGTAGTATAATTTTTATTATTGCAACACAAAATTTAGTAAACAGGAAAACCTCAGTACAATATTTGGTTTTAAAAACTATGCCTAGAGAAATGAAGCATTAAAATTATTTTTACTGCATTTTCCATAGACTTAAAATAAAATATAGACTGAGCATCTCATTCATAAATAGCTGGAACATGCGGTCAGACACTGTCTTGTTATTGTTGTGTTATTGTTTTAGGTTATAACGAGTGCGACACGAGCGATAGATAGGTTGTCTCTGTCGTAACGGTCGTTCCCTGACGACTCTGCCGAGAAACACAACACTGTCTTTCGTTTCTCAAGTACACCTGAACTCTCGGTATCATAGCCGGGTAATTTTTTTATTTTAATGAAGCTATAATTAAATTAAAAATATATCGTATTTAAACTTTTTTATATTTTATTAAGATTTAGGACAGGTTTTTTAAATAAAACTATAGAAAAAACAATTTAGAGTCCAAAAAGGATAAAAATAATAAAATACACGTTATAGAAGAAATTTTATAATCGAAATTAGGTAATTTTTGAAATTAATAATAAATTATTAATTTTAGTCAAGCATTTACAACCCCTAATATTAATCAAAACAGGATCTATTCCACAGATATAATAGAATCGGCGACAGGGGAGAAAAAAAAATATGATTGTTGTAATTTTTTTTTTGGTTAAGTGATGTCTTATTATGCAAATTAGAGAAAACATAAATCTGTTCCATTAAAGCAAGGAAGGTGATAGGAAGTGGATAAAATAAAAACTACATTTATTTAACTCGGTACTGTCTTTATTATACCGGGTGCGTCTCAAAAGTGGGTCATCCCCATTTTTTTTTTATATTTTCAAATAAAAAAACAAGATTTAGTATGTTAGTATATGAAATAAATTAGGCTTGATTGACGCATTCAATTGTTTTTGGTCACTTCCTGTTTCACCGGAAATGACTATAACTTTTAATTTTTAAACGGCACCCTCCGTATATTTCTACTTTATTCGATAGAAAATGACACTCTGAATAGAATGACATATCATATGTCAACTTTTGACATTTTCGCATATGGTTTAATTGTAATTGTAAAACGCGGTTCATAACGACAATTTGACTCGAAATACCAAGTGTGTGGTATCAATATATTCATAAAAAAATGCTTTTTCCAAATATGCTAATGAGTCACCCTTGTTCCATTTGAAAAAATTTACATATGTATGATTAAAAATACGATTTGTACATCTTTTAACCGGCCTAGACAAGACACGAAACCTATTAGACGATCAAAACTATTTTTCCAAGGCTCCTTGATTAAAACTTAGTGGATTGAAAAAAACTGGATTGAAATTTAAAATAGGATATGTTTTTGAGCGACAATGTCAAAAGTTGACATATGATATGTCATTCTATTCAGAGTGTCATTTTTTATCGAATAAAATAGCAATATACCGAGGGTGCCTTTAAAAATCAAAAGATGTAATAATTTCGGTGAAACAGGAAGAGACCAAAAACAATTGCATAGGTCCAATAAATCCTAATTTATGTCATATACCTACTAATATACAAATCTGTTTTTTATCTGAAAAAATAAAAAGTTATAGGGTTGAGCCACTTTTGAGACGACCCGGTATATTAAAAAATATTGTTTCATAATGTAATATCATTTTAAAATTCTTGTACGTTATTTTAGATTCTGAAGATAATTTTAGAATAAACCGGAATATATTTTTAATAAAAACATTATTAATTTTAACAGGGTTATAATTATGATTTTGTTACAATGTAAGTAAGTAAATAATGTAATGTAAAAGAAAAAATTCAGATTTTACATTTTACTAAAATATTATCTAAATAAGCGCCTTTCTACAACAACGCCACTGACTGCCAATGGGTAAATTGAGAGTTGCCTACCGGTCCAAAGTCGTTTCAAGACTTAAATGGATTATTTAAGTCAAATTTCTTGCAAATTTGGCACTGGCGAACCATATTTTATAGTTCCTGAACAGAAAAAGTCAATAAAATAAACACTTAAGGACTACAAGCTAAGAGAATGCGTTAATACAGCCGGGGAGATAGCGGCAACAAAGCTTTACCGCACACGTGCGACACGTACTACAAGGTAATAAATGAATGAATAGGCTCCCTCGCCTCTAATCGGTGTTGTCATATTGTAAAGAACTTATCCTTATTAAACAGTATCCGACTTATAATTTAGTAGTATAAGGACTATTTAATACATCTATGGAATATTAAAACCTACTTTATTAAACTGTAGTATTAATATCTCAATATATGTGTATAACAAGAAAAAAAATATTGATAATATTAAAGACGTGACAACATACGCTGGATGAGGAAGGCTCGGTCGACTGTACCCAGAAGTAAACATGTGTACAAAAAAGGTTGTTTGTCCGCGTTGAGATGTAAATAGTGTAGTCTATATTTTATTTTAAGTCTATGGCATTTTCAGAAAATCGTAAATATTTCACAAACGGTAAGATTAAAGTGGGGTAAATTTTAATCAAATCTAAGCATAAGAAAAACTAGCAGCAAGCATTATTATTCCTTTGTAACAATTTCAGTTACTAAACATATCGCCAAATTTTATTATTACAGCAAACAGAAAAATATATGTTTACAACGAACATTCCTTAACTAGGATAGCGTAAAAGCTGGAAGATTTACAATAGAAATTTGCGGCTATTGTTAATAAATAATATAGATTCGCCTTGAGGTCGAGGTAAAATACCGCCTTATAAAATTCTAGAATCCTCAATAATTGAGCCAGACTAGTTTTCCAGGCTGGAATCTGATCGTAACAGTAGATGGAACGTTTGGATTCTTTGTCGGTTTATATAGACCTAATGGTCGTCTTTTTTCGTTTTTTTTTCTCCTAAAATTAGCCACGCTACTCTGTAATTTTCGACTTTACTTTTTTTTGTTTATTAGTATTTTTGAGGTCTATAATTTATTTTTTCTTGTCAATTTATCTCAGATTTTGATCACAGACCACAAAGTAGACTTTAACAATACAAACCTTACGATGAAAAAACCAGTAGCCTCTAAACGAAAATTAAAAGTTGCTTTTCTAATCAACTAGATATAAATAAATGCATGAGCAGTACTCAGACATCTGTAGATGTTAGTAATGGACGGCTTTCGTTTCTTTGACTTTTCAAACACTACATAACATGGTTCTTATTAAGTAAAACAAAATTTTCATATAATATATGAATATATTATAGAGTGGTATTCTAGATAGAATTCTAGATATAATGCCACTCTATTTAAAGAAGAAAACATTTGACCAATTGTGGCTAACGTCATATTCAACGCCTGACTGTTTTGACAGTTCTACCGAAGTGGTCGAGAATTAGTAGTCGTAAACAAACCAATTGTTTTCATTAGTTTCGCAACAAATCTGGGTTTTTACGCGTTTCTATGCTAATAAAATTATACTAAATAATTTTAAGTGAATAGTGAACTATCTAGATCCGATTCATAACATCGTACCCGCGAAAAAAACCATACTTTCGGTAAAAATTATAGTAACACTGGCGATGCCGGCTGTGTGTCCGGGCTAGGAAAAAGTTGGGGAATTTATATAAAAACATAATTA